ATTGTTTTTTGATTGTTTAATTGATTTGTAAAAGTTGATTCAATAGTAGATGATCGGAAATAAGAATTATTGCTTATTTTTTGATTGTTTAATTGATTTGTAAAAGATGATTTGTAAAAGTTGATTTGTGTAATTGATGCGAATATAATTCTTATTTGTGCTTGTTTAATTGATTGAAATGTAATGGTTGATTTTGTTGATTTCAATCTGCATTATGTTGAAGGCAAAATTGACTATCGCAATGCGAAATGAAAATCGCAATGCGAAATGAAAATCGCAACGAGAGAATCGCAATGCGAAATGAAAATCGCAATGCGGAAATGAAAATCGCAACGAGAGAATCGCAATGCGATTTTCATTTCGCATTGCGATTCTCTCGTTGCGATTGTAATTTCCGTGTTGCGATAGTCAAATGCATGCCTAATAGTGATAACAACTGAATAACAAGAGTTGGTTAAGTCAAAATGGTTGGCCTGAGTCATTAATTCAACTGAAAATGTTAAAAGTTCACACATAAAATCCACATAATACAACGTTTGCATTTAAAAATCACCTAAGTTAACAGTCCCAAAAGGTGAAGCCAATTGTGATTGGGATTTTAAAGATGGTTGCCTTTTGCTTGACACCATATGAGCTTTGGATTTTGATGAGGATCCATATTTTGGTAGAGGAAAAGATGATTTTGATGGCACTGGTGATCCACATGTCAACCTTGTATGACCACTTTCCTTGCACCGACTACATGTCGATCTCTTCTTCTCTTCACCCTTAGACGGTATACGATCGTGACTTTTTGGTCGGCCAGGTAGCCTTCTGTCCATGGCTGGTGGCAAAACTGTTTGTAAGTCATCTGGTATGTCCCACTCAGAAGGATGTGGAATAGGGTAGACAATCTCGGCATAAGTCTGTCGATAAACTTCTGTAGTGTATCAATCCATAGCGTATGCGCTTGAATCATCTTGGTTTAAATGAAGAGCAACTTTTATAACATGGCCACACGGATAACCAGATGTTTGCCATTTCATACAACTACACGTCTTTGCATTTAGATCGACTAGCCCATTTAAGTTATTATCCAGTACTTGAAACAAAGTGTTTGAACATGGTTCAACTCTCCATGACGTTGACTTCACAACACGTTTCGTTATCTTTTTTTCAGTCCATGGTGTAACACGATGTTCCAATGTTCCTGTAAATTTAAATAAACAATACTTAGTAAAATATATAAATATGATAAGTTACGAATTCAAAGAAATAATACCTGCATGGTTTCTTTTCTTGTAGTACAACTGTTGAATAGAGGCTCGAAAAAACTCCATTAACATAGTAATGGGTAATTTCCGGGAATGACGACTTAGAGCGTTGATTGATTCTGCACTATTAGACGTCATGAAACCATATCTTGCTCCAAGTTGATGTACTCTTGACCATCTTTCAAACCCGACATCTTCTAGTGTTTGAGCACACTGAGGCAAAACACGTCTTAAACAATTTATATGCTTATTGAAATCCACTTCCCGATAAGCTTTACAGCCTTCCAGTATGTCCATTTGTGCTTTTTTATACCAGCAGACCTTGATTTTAGATTTCTATACAAATGAACACCACAAAGTCCATGAAAAGCATCTGGGAAACACCTTCTAACAGCGTTGTCAATTGAGTTTGCCCTATCGGATATGATTGTCAGATTGCTAATAGGACCTATGCAATCCCTAAGATGCCCCATAAACCATGTCCATGAATCAGAGGTTTCAGATTTGCCAACCCCGTAAGCTATTGGCAATATCCCATTGTTAGCATCCATGGCTACTGCTAATAAGTTTACTCCAAGGTATCGACCTTTCAAATGTGCTCCGTCAACTATAATAACTGGGCGCATGCAAGTAATAAACGAACGAATCTACAAAATAATATACACAAGAAATATAATCATTTAAATGTGAAATGCATGTAACTAACAAAATGAGTCAACAAAATTATATTGATTTACTAACCGTAGCACCAATGGCGATAAACAGCAACTCAAAGCGTCCATCTCTATCTGTTTTGATATGAGTTACCGACCCAGGATTTTTCAGCTTTAAATTGTGACAATAAGCCGGCAGTTGGGCAAACGATGCTTCTGGCGACCCCCTCAACAATTCCAAGGCATAACATTTGGCTCTCCAAGCTTGAGAATATGATATACTAATCTTGAACCGAGCATTCATGTCAGTCATAATTTCATGTCCCCGATATACCCTGCCATTCAAAAACATTAACTCAACCAGAAAACCACCCAACACCTTTTTGTTTGCCTGTCTATGGTGAGGAAAAACTTGGGTTCTTGAACATGTATGTTTATCAATAAAAGTCCTAACTTGAAACATTTTGCAATCTTTTATTCTCTTTGCAATCATACGCCACGTACAGTTTTGTCAATCATACACCTTGTTTCGAAACGATCTTTGCTTGATTTGTTAACTTTTAGTTGATAGCCATCTTCCACACATTTCGTATACAAAGCTATCTTCAAGTCTTCCTTTGTATCAAAACAATCATCTTTCTTGACACGAATAACTTTTGTGTAACAATCAACTGCTTTCTTTGCCAACTCTTCTTCCGGTAACTGAAGTAATTCTGGCATATTCCAGTTATACTCCCGTGGCATTTTCTTTTCTTCGGGGACTTTTTCTTCTTCTTTTTCTTCTTCAGGATTATATGAATTACAGAATGGATGTTCAACATGTTCATTCACAGTCGTAACTTCCTCCTCATTATCATCAACAACATCTTCCTCGGCAACGGGTGTTTCATCATCAAAATTCGGGTATGACCAATATGAAAATCATTACACACATGGTCTGTTTCTTCTTCTGAAACATCATCAAAATCCGTGTATTGACCAATATCAAAGTCCGGATATTGACCAAGACCAAATTTCGAATACTGACTAGTACTCACAATTTTTTCTGTTGGCTCATCATCGTCTAACTGGTCAATACGAAAACCGGAATTTGGTGCTGAAAGTTGATTGGGATTTGGATTAGAGAAAGGTTGTGGGTTTTGAGAAAAACTTAGTTGATTACTACCCGCTACTGACCAACAATACTACTTCTAGGTTCAACAACATACAATGTAACATCATCTTGTGAAACACTAATGTAAGCAATGAATCGTTCAACATCTTCATTGTCGGTTAACAAATAAACTTTACCATTTCTCTGATAAGATAGCCTAAATCCACTTAGGGGCTCTAAATTCAATTTATTTGAAACACGTAGCATTAGAGTTTCATAAGTTAACTTTTGTAAAGACAATTTTAGTTGAAGATTCATGGGTAAAGGCATATATTGTAAAACACCATGAACATTATCCCATGACCCTCCAAAACACAAATCTATCCAAACATGATCAACATTAGATGATTTCATGGTTGTAAATTAATTTACTAAACAGACGAGCTGCGAAACTAAAACCTGTTGCCGGATTGGGAAGGATGTCGTTGGATATAGGAACGGATGTCGCCGGAGAGAGTGATAGATGGAGATGGAATGAGTTGCGATTTAGGGATTTAGTTTATGATTTCAGTGTTATATACCCAAAATTTCAGTGTTGTGATTTACAGATTCTCGTTGCGATTTACGGATTATCGTTGCGATTTACAGATTCTCGTTGCGATTTACGGATTATCGTTGCGATTTACAGATTCTCGTTGCGATTTACGGATACGCGTTGCGATATACGGATACGCATTGCGATTTACCCATATGCGTTGCGATTTACGGATACGCGTTGCGATTTACGGATACGCGTTGCGATTTATGTGTTCGCGTTGCGATTTTCATATTCGCGTTGCGATTTTGGAAAATCGCAATGCGAATTTGTACTATCGCATTGCGATTTTCAAGAATCGCGTTGCGATTTTGGAAACTGATTTGCGATTCTGGGGATCGCGTTGCGATTTTTATTTCGCGTTGCGATTTTGTTGGTCATTTTGGCAAATCCAAAAAAAGTTGGTTAAAATCGTATATTATAACTTTTTTTTGGTCACTGAGGCGATTTTCTCTAATAATAAATCTAATTTTTTGGGACCCTTGTTATTCTGGGACCCTGTTCCGTCGCGCATTCTTAGGCCCGCCTCTGTTTTGAAATAAACAATTATTTCTAAAAATATTTTTATTAAATGAATGGTTTTTTAATTTTTTATAGAATATTGGTTATTTATTATTTAAAACCCCTGTTTAAATTGGTAATCAAATACCAATTCAGTTTATAGCAAAGGATGGGTGTAATTATATAATAGTGACATCAAATAATATTTCAGTTTCATATGTGATTTTCAAAGGCAAAATGGCATCTAATTATTTTGTAATATATGGCCAAATTGTTCATCATCCAAGAGCTTAACAGTCACCTAATTTGCCCTTGGAAATGACTAAAGGGATACATACATTAAGAAGATAATGTATATTAATCTTATATGACCAAACACTTTCATTTTCTTTATTTTTTTTGTCATTACCAATTTATTAGTTAAAGTTCAAATACATGATTTAATTCCCGCAAAAGCCAAAATCTCTTTAAAGATGCCACTCTCAAACTACTGATTCATGTATCAATATAGTTTTATGACCCAAATGTTAATACAAAAAGGTAATTAGTAGGAATAATATTATAAAAGAATATAATCATGAACCTTGAATATTAACTATAAAGTAAATAGTATAGAAACTATCATAATTGATCATGCTTAGGGAAGGTTAAGTCATTTGAATTTGAAAAGCAGTTGGCTAAGCTATATTTTATAACTTGATTTGCAAGTCAAAACAAATGGAGTGATGATAATTAATTAAAAAGACTGGTACTTGACAATATTTTTATGAAATACACACAATATTAGGGGGAAAATAGAGATGACAATCGTTACGAAATACATTAAAAGACGACAAAAATACAAATACAAACAGGGATTGAAAAGTCACCCTTATCCATAAATATTTTTCTTATTTACAGTTCGAGGGAACCCTCCCCCAACACAAGCGTGCACTCGTTTTCATTTGTTGTTGATGTAATTATGTATGAAAATGGAGGTATATTTTAAGCATTGCTCCTGAATGATCCAAGGGCTTTAATGGCTGCTGCTCTTAGGATGTACTGGTGGTAAAAGGCAGCAATGGCAGCTCCGATGAAGGGTCCAACCCAGAACATCCACTGCAAAATTAAACCAACACATGAACACTCTTTGTGTTTTCAGTTGAAATGGAAATTTATAGAGGAAAAGTCAATAATTTTTACTTGATCATCCCAAGCCTTTTCTTTGTTGTAAATCACAGCAGCTCCAAAGCTCCTTGCAGGGTTGATGCCGGTGCCGGTGATGGGGATTGTGGCAAGGTGAACCATGAACACGGCGAATCCGATGGGGAGCGGTGCCAGCACCTTCAATATTTAGTTTTTATTAAATGGAAAGGCCAAGAAAAAGAAAAAGAAAATGAAATCAAGAGAGTACATACAGGAACATGGGAGTCCCTGGCGCTCCTCTTGGGATCGGTGGCCGAGAAGACGGTGTAGACGAGAACGAAGGTGCCGATGATTTCAGCGCCGAAGCCGGTGCCCTTGTTGAAGCCCGGTTGCAGCTCGTTGGCACCACCACCGTAGCTGTTGTAGTAAGTCTTTTGGAAAGCCTTGACCAACCCACAGCCGCAGATTGCACCCAAGCACTGAGCCACCATGTACATGATGGCTCGGATCAGCGATACCTTACGCCCCAAGAAAAGTCGAAACGTCACCGCCGGGTTGATGTGTCCCCCTGAGATACCGGCGGTGCAGTAAACGAGGATGAAGATCATGCCACCAAAAGCCCAAGCAATACCGAGAATGCCAACGCTACCGCAGTCCTGGTCAACGGTGTTCTTGGCCGGGTCGGTTTGGACTTTATGACCGATCACGGTCAGCACCGTGACATACAAGAAAAGAAGGGTGGCAATGAATTCGGCGATACACGCCCTATAAAACGACCATTTGGTGAGTTCGTCGAAGTTGATCAATGGTGCTGGCGGTGGATCGTGGTAGTCCTTGGCTGAGAACTCGCCTCCGCCTTGCTCCGCCGTCGTCTCGATATCCTTAGCCACGTGTTCCCTTTGCTAAAACTGAAAGTTGTGAGGAGAAAAGGAGAGGTTTAAGCTGTGGGTGAAGAGAGGTGAGTGGGAGAAGTGGCATGTAAGGGGAAAATAGAGACGTTGATGATAATGATTAAGGAGGTCGATTATGTGTAATAATATTATTTTAACATTTATCCTTAGCCGTCTAATGTACCTTTGATATCGATTTTCTTCGTTTGCATGGTCCCACCCTTCACTATGCAATTGCAAGCGTTAGTATAAAATATTGTTTATTTAGAATTTTGTTTAATTCATTAATAGTATACATATTTTAAATGTACTCATTTAAATTTAATTTTTTAAAATAAATAATATTTTTCATCAAAAAGACGATTCAATAAGTGTTTTTATTTCAATCATACGATAAAATTATTTTGTATTTATGTTTTTAATTTCAATAAATTTAAGTACTAAATACTTTTTTAAACAGTTTTACGTAATTATAAAGTAATATTTATTCATAAATTCTTTTAATCTATTACTAACATATATATTATGAAAATAACTATCCAAAACCAGAATTTCAAAAAGAAAATAACAAGTCTCTTTTATTTAATAAATTTTATGTAAATTATATTATTATTTAAATTCAAATTAGAGAAAATATTATCACTAAAATCATTTAAGACATACGTCCGTTTATTATTAGAAATATGTCTCACAAAGTTCTACATCGGTCATTCTTTTGTTTACTCAATGAGTATAACAATTATAATCTATTTCATTTTGTATAATTTTATTCAGTTAATGACATTTGCCTTGATCATTTACAAGCAAAACAGAATATAGATTCTAGGTGCAGTGCTTTTTAGCAAAACAACACCAACATTGCAAAAAGTGAAGAAAGAAAAATACACTTTAATTCACTTACTTTGGCTCCTTTCACCAAAAGAATTATTGTAATAGGAATGGGTAGTTTACCTTAATTTTTTTTAAATGGTATGGATCTTAATTTATATAAATATATTTATTCTAATATTATATACAATGAGTAACAGATATACGACCTTTTGAGAATAGGTACATATTTATTTTTAAATTTAATTTTTTTCCGGTTGTTTATCTATTTTACTGACGGTATCCACTTCATTTAAAAACTTTGTATTGTTAATAATCTCAAAATTACTTTTAGTTCCGCTTAACATATATATATTTAACATTTAGAGGTTGATGATTCAGTTTTTAAAGCTCAAGGTTTAGGGTTGTTAGAGATTTAAAACTTAAATAGATAAAAATTAAAAAATTAAAATTTACATAATAAGATAACATTATCCTATTTTAAATTATAAAAACAAGTAGGTCAGATTCCTTAATTATTAAATGAGGCAAAACGGGTGTCGTATGGTGGGCTGGTGACGGCTTTGCCAGATAAACTTATGACTCCGAATATGTACCTAAAGGCTAAAACCCTGTTTATTTTTGCAAATATATGTGTGGTGGTGGGTGCTTTGTGCTTATTCTTTAATCATTCATGCTTCTGATTTAGAAATACCACCACCGATATGCATGTATATATAACATTCTACATTATTTACCAAAATTAGTGAAGAAAAATACATTAGAAAACTATATGGTATATGCCAATTGAATGATGCATTTTACATTAATTGGTAATATTAATTTAAATTATGAAAATAATGGGGAGTAATATTAATTTAAAATTTGTTTATTTGATTATCTTATTGTTTTATCTTTGATTTGGATGTTTGGATTAATTCTCTCGTTATTGATAAGTACTCGTAATTACCAAAGATGTATTTTAGTTAAGCTGAAATAAAATTAGTTTATTAGTGTCACATTATTGTTATATGTATTTTTATGTTAGTGTTGATAGTATTTATCTTAACCAACAATACTTATGTTTATTTATATCTATCATTTTTTTGAATTATTTGATTAAATTTTTATTTTATGCTTGTATAATCCTATCTTATTTTTTAGTGATTAATTAATATACTTTGATGATTATTTAAAAAATCTTAATTGACATGATTAGTCTATTCTAATTTGTATGCACTCATCCTATAATTTTGATATATTTTTTTTATTTAAAAAAATTAATTATTATTATTAATTAAAAATTAGTAAGCTAACAAGTCGATAGTTTCTCTTGTTAATAAGATTAATAAATGTCAAAAAGATAATATTATAAAATCTATCAAATAAACAACATAACGAGACCAACCAATTAGACTAACAATAATACTGACATTATTGTATAAATGGACCGACACGCCACCTCAATTTACATAAAAATAGATACTATCAAACGTTGCAATCGAAACTTTCATCATCGTTGTACATGTATATAAAATAATTTATAATAATTAAAACTTAATCAAACTGCATTTGGTCTATCTCGTGGTTGAACTTTAATGTTGTCTTCTCGATTTTGAATTATGGCTGGAAAGACGCCACGTGTCTCAATCTCAAATCCATTACGAAATCAAATTCGACTTAATTCTCTTGATTATGGGTTAATAGTGACACATCGGGTGGGCGGTGGGTAAGAAATTTCAGGTAATGTTTCAAACTGGAATTATATTTATAAATAATGTTGATAGAAAATTTATGGTTGTGACGTTGTTAATGATTTTTTATTCTAATGAAAAACTATAATTGATATAATGGCTTACACACTAATTTGTAGTGTTGATGGCACGTTTAAGAGTGATGATCATTTATAAATTGAAAAACTAAGTAGATTTACTTGTCATATGATAGATTTAGTTATGACAAAACACATGGATCGTCCATTAGCAATGTCAAGAGATTGCAATCATCCAAAAGATACTAGACTCTAAAAGTTTGTTATAATTTCGAAGATCTCAACAAGCGAAGAATCAACAATAAAAATGTTATTTACGTAAGAGATCCAAAAAAAGGTATATACAAGTAAAATATTTAGAAAAGTTTATTCTAACCTAATTGGGTAAGGGTTTTATTTTGTTTAAGGAGAAAATGAATTTGAGTAATTGGTTTGATCAATTGGTCTAAAGTTATAATATAACCTTTTAACATTTTCTTCAACTATTATATTTTTAATATTCTAACCTTTTAACTCGACTCTCTTCTAATTTGATCAATGTGTGCAATCTATTCGCCTGAATCAACACCTTAATTCTTGTCATTAATGTGGCTCGTGTATTCACACATAATTGCTACACCTCACCTCTTGTCATTAATGCAGCTCGTGTTTCCCACCTTAACCTTAGGAAAAGGAGGGGGATGCTTCCGTAATTTACTAATTTGAAAGACTACATTGGGTTGAGCTCAACAATTGATGGGGTTTTGGTGTTTGGACTCTTCTATAATTATCAATATTTGATTTTTTTATCAATTAATTTAAATTAAATATTCATAACTTTATTATAAGAACCATTCCATAAATTTAAACATTTTATCTCATTAAATCAATTAATAATCGATCGATTAGGTATTTCAATAAAAATTAATCACGACTACTCTACAACTACAATTAATAATTTATCACGGTTCTCTAATCATGTATTTTATTATCTATCTTATTTTTTAATAATTTAGAGTGATTATAAGATAATATTTGTTCAGAATTTTTCTTAGTTATTGACAACACGCACACACTCACATATATAACTGTTTGAACTCAAAATCTCTAAGTAAAACAATAAATAGAATACATGCATATGTATCGAAGATATTTCTTAAATTCGATAAAAAAATCTAGTATATAGAATAAATAATTTTAATCTACTTGAAAAAATTATATAAATAGATTACAAAAAATACACATTCATATATATATCGAAGATATATATTAACATAAACACGAATATAAATCAAACCAAATTATATTGTACTGACGATGACAACAATGCATATATGTGTGAGCATTATCCTTTATTACTTAATACGAGTAAAAAGAAGAGCTTGTTTAAAAATCCTTCATCAAGATAATATATGGGTTACAACCAACATCTTTGCGTTATAATATTTTTACCAATAATCCCCACTAATACAAAGAAGTGTGGACTTAAAATGAAGGAAACAATAGAAAAAAAAATAACGAAATTAATCACTGAAGTGTTAGTCTATTAGATTTGAATTAGTAAATAGTGAGACGATAAAATTTTTTTAAGAAATAAATGGATTTTGAACTTGTTATAAGATAGAAGTAAAATCTTACACGACTAATCTTAGATTATTTGAGTTTCATGATAGTTCAACAATTAGTTAAATATGTCATGGGATTCTCATAAATGCTCCAGAAAGACGACTAACTTTTTTTATGTAAGGTGGTTAGTCCTTCGTTGTATATGGTTTCATTTAGTTTGTTTTAACATAAACCATAATTAGAGATATAAAGTCATTAAAAGTATTCACTAAGCTGATGATGCTTAAGATGGTTGGACAGGTTGATGGTGATAATGAGCTAGTAATCCAATCACAATTCATCCTTTTTAGTATGGGTAAAAAGTCGCGTTCTTAAAATAGAGAAAAGAACAATAGAGAATGATAAGGTGTAAAGAGATTATCCATTAGTCTATTCTTTCTCGGAGAGAGAAGGTCCAGTTATACACTCTTATAGACTTGGTCTATATGAAGGAATGAATTGAAAGAGAATTGGTGTCTGGTACGTAGTAGGCAACGTTAACATAATAAGTATATCACATTAATATGTTAGTCGTTGATGGACAGTAATTAAGAACGAGGCATAGAATCGGAGATGTGCCTTGAATTGTATTGAAGTTGCTTAATGGGGGACCATATTTTTAGTAAAGAAGACTCCTTGTTTTGAAATAATACCCGAAATGAAAGGTGTAATAAACTTGTTCAAATTTATTAATTGGGTTTTTCTTAGTAGGCATTTTAAGTTGAGATCATTTCAATTCTACTCTCATTTTTAGATTCAAAGTCATTTCGATCTGATACTAGTCAAAATTAAAAGGTACAACGATAACGCATGCGGAGAAGCATAGACGGGGGCTAAGTGGCTAGGGCTC